GCTTCAAGTGCAATTTGCTAGTTAGACATTTAGTCATGCACAATTTCTCTAACTTCAACCATAACATAATTTTGATTTTCTCCTTTAAAACGTCTTGAAAAATATGATTCGAAAGATGAAGATGAATTTGTTAAAAGCCTTTCAATCTTTGTCTAAGTTAGACCTTTGATTTTGAAACTTTGAAAGTGGAAATTGACTTTACTTTTCAATTTTTTCTTACTTCAATATGTATATAACTATATATACATTCATTCTAATACATTCTTCAAGCAACAACTTTCAATTGATCACACGAATACACATATACTATTCTCTCTCTCTCTCTCTCCCTCTTATAATTGGCATTTAGTTAAAATGGAGTTTATGGGTGGAAATAGCCAACTCTTGTCCAAGCTAGCAGCCAGTGATCAGCGTGGAGAAAATTCTCCTTATTTTGATGGATGGAAAGCGTATGAAAATGATCCTTTTCATCCAACTAAAGATCCTAATGGTGTTATCCCAGAATATACCTATGCGATCGCGTAGGCTTATGAAAATTGGCGTTTTAATTCCATGCCTTGGTATTCGTGATCGCATAGGAGTTTCTACTATGCGACCGCATAGTAGAACAAACTTTCAAGTTATGTCATGTTGGTCCTCAAACTTCATTCCTCTACTTCTTGACATCCTCTCGTGTTTCTAGTTGTTCCAATGTTCCATTATGATCTCCAATTGGTGCTTAGCTTGATCAATTGCTTGATGTGTCCATCGGATCAAATTTAGATAATTGCACTTTGGTCCCTGAACTTTCACTTTGATTCATTTTGGTCCTTTTTGCTACTTTTTCTTGTGAATTCCGTCAAGTCCATCAATACACCATACAATCCAACAATTGAATGAATTTAAGCCACAATTTAATTATTTTGCTTGTAATTTAGTCATGTTTGTGCATTAAATAAGTGCACAAAAATGTACTTACCAAATCCCTCAAACTTGAACTGTTATTTGTCCTCAAACAAGATAGTGACTTAAATCTCAACAAACATGGCTTAATAACCTGCCTTATCTTAGAATTGGAATTCAGTAATTAACAAAGGAAACAGTTTCAATAATGCGAGAATAGAATTTATCTTTACTTGTCGGGTGCAAAACTCATCGTGTGTGTGTGTACTCATACCAACATAGTCAGCTCATGATTGGTTCAATCCCGATCCCAAAATGGTCAAATATGTCCTTACTTCGCTCGAAAGATGCACAACTCCCCAAACTTATCATTTTCACTCAATTATCCCGGGATTGTGTTTTAAAGTTAAGGGTTTAGGTAATAGTAATCCTTACTCTCTCTTTATTTGGATAGATTTTACTATTACAGGTTCGTATGTCAACAAGTGAAGACTCTCCTAGATTTGATTGCTTTGACACCTTAGATTAAACTAAGATACTTGTCTCAGCTTGAAGGTGTGATTCTTATCAATATATATATATAAATCATCTTCTCATTTACTTTCTATATAGCCTCTGTAGCAAGCTTTAGGCCAATGACTCCCAAACAATTGGCTTTAGGGCACCAGATTTCAAATCCTTACAGGCTTATTTACTCAAGTTATAAAGGCTCGATCAGATGACTTTTTATTGACATCTTTCCCTCTTGATTTTTATATGACCCCTATAACGAGCTTTGGGTCGGTGTCTCACAAATCAGTTGGCTTTAGGGCACCAGATTTCGAGATATCATTAAAGGCTTACTTGCTCGAGTCATAAAGGTTTGGAAAGGTATCAAATTTTCTTAACCTAGATTTATGTCCCTTTATTTTTCTAGACATTTGGTCTTTGAAATCAACCCCCAAATTAAGACTTTCTCCCAGTCTTCATCTCATTTGTCTAGGCAATCCACATAGTGTAATTCATTCACGGAGCCCCAACTTATCTCAATATTCCCCTATAATTGTTAAACCTTCTTCAAACTATGCATTAAAGCATTTTGGTTTATGGATCTACATTATGGCTAAATCTAGTCGGGGTTTTCTGATTTCTTCTGCTTTATTCAAACCCAATCACTTACCTGACATATATGGTATGAGTGACATGCATATGGAATGTCAAGTACTACCCCCAACAAGTATCAGTTAATTAAATTCAGCACTATATTCACAGTTCCTAACACATACCTATCTCAATAATCACATCATTGCCGGCAAGACTATCAAACCAACGCAGGCATGCAATGAACCAAATATAGTATATTAATGCAATAATCACTCGTCAAGCACACAATGTTCAACCAGTGTCATAGAATTGAAAATTTACATTCCATGTCGATAATTGTGTTTTCAAAAGCAAAAGGGTCTCGTTCAAAATATGCCACCACCCCCAAACTTATATATTACATTGCCCTCAATGTGAAAAATAAAGGTTTCAAATGACATATTTTGAAGACAATTGCAAATTAGAGTTAGCAAATGAGTGAAATAAACTCCCCTGATCAATATGGAGGTGGTGGTGGGAAAATTTTCCTGTTGTACCATCATCTGGAGGTGGAGGTAAGCGTGCTAAAATCTCTCTCATCATTGTTGACTGCTGCGCCATCTCCTATTGGATTTTGCCAACACGTGTCTCCATTCGGCCCAGACGTTCCCAAGTCTCATTCACTCGCAATTGGATGTCATCCACCCAGCCCACATACATACTCAGTCGACCGTTCATAGTTTCCATCTCCCTCATGGCTACCTCTGAATCCAGGTGAGCGACTCGTGCCATACTAGTGGCGATGCGAATGTCACGTTGGACTGTCTGTATGTCAGTCTTCAAAGCCCCCATAGCCTGCTGGAGACCCTGTATGTCGTGGCTGGTTCCCATGGTGGTGGCGAATATCTAACGCTAAAATTGTGTATCCACCTCAATCTGTGGTGGTGGAGCTTGTGGCATTTCTTGATCTGCAGGCACCTGACCCTGCTCTTCCTGCTGCCTGCGGCGCTCGTTTTCTTACTTTTTCCTGTACTTTATCCTAGCTCTATCTTGAGCTTCCAATGTACTGCGATTTATAGGGGGGTTGGGTTTTACATGTGCCTCCCCTGGTGTGTTATTGATACCAGCATGCAAGTGGTCAGACCCTGGTGTGTCGATTTCTGCATTGAAATTTGCGTAGAATTCTCCCACCAATAATTCATAGATCTGATGTGGTAGCTCTGTTACCTTTGCCCACCCATAGTTATCCACCAAAGTGATCAACTCAAAATCTAGAAAATCCTCTAATTTAGCCGCCCACTCTGGTGTTACTATTCACTAACTCACAATGTTTTCATAGTGGGCTGCTGTCTCAGGATTTAAAAATCTTTGTATCCCGCCTTCAAGAACTCAAGTAAGGGCTGTCCTGGAAGATGAACCAACTTTTTCTTTCCCTTTCGAGGTTCGTTTTGGAGGCATCCCGCAAAGTTGCAAAATAGCATTCATTAAACTTCTTGTTGAAAAACGATAAATGGAATGAGATCAGTAAGGCATGTATTTGACAAATCCCCCAAACTTGCTTCAACATGCATATATAACACATTGGTGTACAATATTCAAAACATGATATTCAAGATAGTAGAAATATTGCGCAAACAGGAAAAACTAGCAAAATTTGGTCCAAATATGCACATTTATGAAAATTTAATCCATGATCAAGTGCGTACTTTCAACCTAGGGCATCGTCGAGAAATATCAAATTTTTTTCGAGCAATCTCTAGGCATAGGAAAGTATTCAATGAGATCTATCACATACTCAATTTTCAAATCAATTGGATTTCGTTTGGTGTGTCAAATTATGATGTAAAGTAGGGGACGTAGAGTGCCGTGACCTAGCCATGTGCATGTATGTTGATGTTGGGTGTAGGTGTTTTCTAATTCAAATTATGTGGTAATTCATCACAAAAAGGTAATACATTCAATCATCAATCACATGCAACGTTAGATGCACAAAAATGCAATAGAATTTTAACTTGGGCATTTTATCGAACATATTGTGTGCACTATGAAATTTTTCCTGTTTTGGCTATTGATGCTTTGTCAATTGGCTCCACATTCACATATTAATCACAAACCTAACACGCAATCCCTGTCAATTACTGAAAATTAAGACAGCCCAAATCCTCAATTTCGAAATTGTAAAGTAGTGTGTAGGGTGCTTACCTTAGAACATTTGGTAGAATTGTAGGATTTGAGGTCTTTACTTACTTCAATGTGCGATGGAGCAAAAATTGGTGTGTGTTTTTTGTGTTGATCTCATGGGTTGAGGGTTCGGGAGCGATGTGGGTACGCATGTGTGTGTGGGTGCAAGAGATAATTGAAGGGGGATGAGAGGGAAGTGAGTAAAAGTGAACCTGTCATGGTTTGAATCCATGACCGATTCAACACTATGCGGCCCCATAGTGATTAATTTGGCCCCCCAATTATTTTCGATTGCTGTCTATGCGACCGCATAGACATTATGTCTATGCGATCGCATAGACACTGTTTTTTTTTAAATTAATAAAATACAATGGAATAAGACAAAACAAAATAAAGTAAAATTAAAAAATTTGATTTTCTCCCGAGACTATGTTCTCGACCAAATTTGGTTTTCAATCAACATCGTGACCCGACCGTTCAACATCCCAAACTTTTCAAAGTCAGACTTTTAAGCTTCTTGGTGTGTGTGTGGGTTCTAAGTAGTGCTAAAAATCACCTTGAACTCTCAATAACACATTGCCCTTTGGATTTTTTAAAACGAAGTTTTGTCTTGAAATGCGTGAATTACACTCCCAATCACCCAAAAACAACCTCATTCTATTTTAACTTGTGCTTAATGCCTAAGGACTTGTGTGAACAGTGCTTAGACTCTATTGACATGCAAGGATGTTCGATGACTTAACAAAAAATGCAAACGTGAAATTAAAATTTCCTAAGCTAATGTAAACAAAGATAAAACAAATCAAAGGATACAGTAGGTTGCCTCCCATCCAGCGCTAGTTTATAGTCGATAACTTGACTTTTCCAATTGTGCTTCAATTTGGTGTTCCGAGTTGAATGGTGGACTTTTGTTTTGAGAAATCCCCGCCCCAATAGTGTTTCAACCTTTGCCCATTAACTGTGAATGTTTCTTTTATTCCATGGCTGACCTGTATAGCTTCATATGGCAGAACTTTAGTGATAGTGTAGGAGCCCGACCACCTTGATCTCAATTTTTCAGGGAAAAGCTTGAGCCTCGAGTTATATAACAGGACTTTTTGCGCTACCTCGAAATCTTATCTCTGAATGTGTAGATCATGCTAACTTTTGGTGCGTTCTTTGATAAGCTTCGAGTTTTCATATGCTTCCATTCTTAATTCATCTAACTCATTGAGTTGCAATAAACGCTTTTCACCGGCGATTTTCAAATCCATGTTCAATTGTTTCATAGCCCAGTATGTCCGATGTTCTATTTCCAATGGAAGGTGGCATGCTTTTCCAAAGACTAGGCGGAATGGAGACATGCTTATCGGTGTCTTGAATGCTATCCTGTATGTCCAAAATGCATCATCCAACTTTTTTAACAAGTCTTTTCAGGATGAATTTACTGTGACCTCTAATATTCTCTTCAGTTGTCGATTGGACACTTCAACTTGCCCGCAGGTTTGAGGATGATATGGGGTTGCAACTCGATTTTTAACCTCATATTTACTCAATAATTGCTCAAATTGGCGATTGCAAAAATGTTTACCCCTATCACTGATTATTGCCCGCGGTGTGCTATATCTGGTGAAGATGTATTTCTTCAAGAACCCAATTACCATTTTAGCGTCATTCGTTGGTAATGCAACTGCCTCCACCCATTTTGACACATAATCAACTGCTACCAGGATGTACTGATTTGAAAATTATGGGAAAAACGGTCCCATAAAATTGATTCCTCAGACGTCAAATATCTCTACTTCCAATATGTTGTTTAGTGGCATCTCATTCCTTGTTGAGATGTTCCTAGTGTGTTGAAATCTATCACACCTCTTAACATATTCAAAGGTGTCTCTGAACAATGTAGGCTAATAGAACCCTGACTGTAAAATCTTAGGTGCAGTCTTTGAAGCCCCCATATGTCCCGCATAAACAGATGAATGACAATGCTCAAGAATTTTAGGTACTTCATCTTCAGGTATATACCTTCTCACAATCTGATCAGCCCCTTGTCTATAAAGAATAAGATCTTCCCAAAAATAATATTTTAGCTCGGCAAAGAACTTCTTCTGGTCAAGTAATTTGGCGGTGGGATTGACCTAGCCAAATAATTGATGATGTCTGCATACCATGGGGCTTCTTCTGCACTGAACATCTGTTCATCTGGAAAAATCTCATTGATTTTCACTGACGTTTCTGGCTCTTCTTGTTCTAATCTCGACAGGTGATCTGCTGCCACGTTTTTACTGCCTTTCTTGTCCCTAATTTTAATGTTGAATTCTTGCAACAGTAACACCCAACGGATTAACCTCGGCCTGCCATCCTTCTTTGTCATTGATACTTCAACGCAGCGTGATCTTTGTAGACTATGACTTTAGACCCCACAAGATATGATCTGAATTTGTCAAAGATATAGACCACCGCCAAGAGCTCCTTCTCAGTGGTTGTGTAGTTGATTTGGGCATCATTTAATGTTTGGTTTGCATAATATATTACATGGAAAATCTTGTTCTTCGGCTGCCCCAATACTGCACCTATGGCATGATCACTAGCATTGCACATTAACTTGAAAGGCAACTCCCAATCAGGTGCTACAATTACTGGCGCTGACGTGAGTTTCTCCTTCAAAGTGTTGAAGGCTTTCAGACATCCCTCATTAAATTCGAAAGACACATCCTTCATTAACAGGTTGCAGAGGGGCTTGGTGATTTTTGAAAAATCTTTTATAAATCTCCTGTAGAATTCAGCATGTCCCAAGCAGATGTGAACCCCTTGAATCTTTGCTTTGTCCACCTCAATCCCTTTTGCCGTGACCCGATGCCCAAGTACGTTCCCCTCTTGCACCATGAAGTGACATTTTTTCCAGTTTAATACTAAATTAGTTTCCCTGCATCTTTGTGATACCAGATTCAGGTGTTCCAAACACTCGTCAAACGAAGACTCGAAGATCAAGAAGTCATCCATAAATATCTCAATAAATTTCTCTATCATGTTTGAGAAAATTGCCATCATACAACGTTGAAAAGTGGCAGGGGCGTTGCAAAGGTCGAAAGGCATCCTACGGTATGCGAAAGTACCATAAGGGCATGTGAATGTAGTTTTCTTATGATCGTCTAGTGCCATTGGTATCTGATTGTAACCCGAATACCCGTCGAGGAAGCAGTAATGTGAGTGGCCTGGAGCATTTGGTCTATAAACAGAAGGAAAAAGTGATCTTCCCTTGTTGCTGCATTGAGTTTGCGGTAATCAATGCAAACCCTCTATCCTGTGACTGTTCTGGTTGGTATCAACTCATTCTTCTCATTGGGTACTACCATTATTCCTCATTTCTTTGGCACCACTTGAACTGGGCTAGTTTATGCACTATCTGATATCAGATATATGATTCCAGCATCAAGAAGTTTGAGTACTTCTGTTCTCACCACTTCTTTCATATTTGGGTTCAACCTTAACTGACTTTCTATGGTTGGCAAAAAATTCTCTTCCATGAGAATCTTATGCATGCACAGTGAGGGGCTGATCCTTTCGATATCTGCTATGGTGTATCCAATTACTGTCTAGTTCTCCTTGAGCACCCTAATTAGTTTCTCTTCTTCCACTTCGCTGACTGTGTTTGAAATGATCACAGGGAGTGTACAGGATTTCCCCAAGGAAGCATATCTGAGGTGTGGTGGTAACTGCTTGAGTTCTAGTTTCGGTGGCTCCTGAATGGATGGTAGTGGTTTTGTAGGTCCCTTTCCAAGCTCCTCAAAATGCCTTTTGTGCATATAAGGTAGGTTGGTATCCAGAAACCTTACACAAGTTTCCATCTCCATTGAATCAGACTGCGTTGACTACGAATGTGCAATGCAAGCTTCATATGCATCTAATGAGTTGTGTAAGTAAAAAGGAGTCTTGGATCACCATGTCAATCACGTCGATTCGAAACAGCTGCCTATCTCTGTAGGTAGTTTCATTGCCTTGAAATTATTAAACGAGATCTGCTCTTCTCCCAATCTCAATATCAGTTGATCGTGCTGAATGTCGATCAAGTCTCTTCCTGTTGCCAAAAATGGTCTGTCCAGTATCAATGGAATATCTTTGTCTTCTACCATGTCCAAGATTAGGAAATCCGTAGGAAAATTGAATTTTTCCACCTGGAAAAGCACATCTTCAATTATTCTCCTGGGATGTGTTAACGATCTGTCAGCCAGCTACAGTGTTACAGTAGTAACCTTAGCTTTTCCCAAGACAAGTTTCTTGAAAACCGATAGAGGCGTTAAATTAATACTTGCACCAAGATCACACAAAGCTTTATCAAAATGAACTTCACCAATAGTGTAAGAAACAGTAAAACTCCTTGGATCTTTCAATTTTGGTGGGAGCTTTTTTTGAATTCTGGCACTGCATTCCTCTATTAGCATTACTGTTTTGTGATCTCCTAGCTTGCGTTTATTTGATAATATATCCTTCGGGAACTTTACGTAGCTAGGCATCTAGAATAATGCATCAGCGAGTGGGATGTTGATGTGGAGTTTCTTAAAAACTTCAAGAAATTTCTTGTATTACTACTCAAAGAGTTCTGTTTTTTCAGCCTCTGTGGAAAAGGTATAGGAGGTTCATGAGAGTTAACGGTTTCTTTACTCTATGTTTTGTCCGATTTTTCAGCTGGGATAGATTCGTCCATCTGTTCATCATGCTCTATAGGTTCTTCTATAGTTGGGAATTCTATTTCTTGATTTTCACCTGGCCTTTTTACATGGATTTCTGGTAGCTGCTTTCCACTTCGAGTTGGCCTTAGCATGCTCCTTTGGGTTTATTTCCATGTTACTTGGCAAGTTTCTCGATGCTATGCCAGTCAATGCTATGGCTAATTGTCCCACTTGAGTTTTCCAAATTTTTTATAACTACATTTTCTGGTAGCTGCTTTCCACTTCGAGTTGGCCTTAGCATGCTCCTTTGGGTTTATTTCCATGTTACTTGGCAAGTTTCTCGATGCTATGCCAGTCAATGCTATGGCTAATTGTCCCACTTGAGTTTTCCAAATTTTTTATAACTACATTTTGGTTCTGAAGTGTAGCTTCAGTCTTCTCCATGAATTTTCCTATCATTTCTTCAAACTAAGGTTTCTTCTCTTGCTTCTGGAATTGTCCTTTGGCTTGTTTTGATTCTAATTGCTCTAAGAGAAGTTTGGATGCTTCTTCCAACTCGGATTAAATGTTTTCCCATATGTGTTATTTTGTTGCCGCTATTCCCATTGAGCATAATCTACTTGCTCTACTTCTTGTACAAAGATTGGACATTCTACTGTTACATGCTCAGCTCCACATTCTTCACAATTGGCCTTTTTCGACTATGTTACGGTAGCTGATTGTGTCATGTTTTCCACCTTATTAAATAATGAGTCAATTTTTGCTGACAAGGCGGAATAGACGTCCACTTCATAAACCCTCGGTGTCTTCTTTTGAACTGCTCGTTCCGATGTCCACATAGCTGAAGTGGTGGCCATGGTCTCGAAAAGTTTCAGTGCCTCATCAATTGTCTTTTTGGACAATGATCCGTTCGATGATGAGTCAACCATGCTTTTAAAAGTTGGAAGTAATCCCGCATAGAAGTATTGTACTTGAATTCCCTTGCTAATCCCATGGTGTGGACACTTTCGCAGCATATTCTTGAACCGATTCCAAGCTTCATCGAAATTTTCCGAGTCACCTTGGCAAAAAACAGAGATGTCGTGCTTGAACTTCGTGATCTTAGCGGGTGGGAAGAACTTAGTGCATAATTTTTGGCCTAGATCATTCCATGTGGTGATGCTTGCGATTGGTTGTGAATCCAGCCATTCAATTGTCTTGTCGTGCAGTGTATGTGGGAACAACCTTAATCTTATTGCATCGTCTGAAATTCCTTGATATCTAAAGTGTTGGCACATTTCCAGAAAACGAGAAACATGCGTGTGTGGATTCTCTTCAGTCCTTCCATAGAATTGATGACTGTTTTGAAATAATTGTATCACATTAGTCTTCAGTTGGAAGTTCGACTGTCCAAACGGTGGATATACTATACTTGACTGGCTTTTAATTATCTGAGGGGTCATGAAATCTCTCACGAGCATATTTCCTTCATCTATTGCCCCTTCTTCATTGGCCAAAAAAATTGGATTATTCTGCACGTTGGCCATTCATTGATGTGCCTCTCTGTTTTCTCCCTGCCTTCGATGGGAAGTGTGTTCGATTTCTGGATCAGCTGGTGTCAATTCTCCTTCAGCAGATCTTATCATGCAAATCTACAAGAAGAGTTAATAGGAGTGCTTAGATGTTAAAATGAAATAATAACTAGAACAAACCAAAATGAAATTAATTAAAATAAAACACAAAAAAATAATAGGAAATGTAAATATGGATGTCTGAATTAGTGCCAATTTAGATAAAATTAAACGAATACTCAATCTCCGGCAACGACGCCAAAAACTTGTTCACGAAATATTTTTTTTCATTTAAAATCACTGCAAGTGTACGGTTCGTTAACAAGTAATAAAGTGAACTTTTTTGAGTCTGAATATCGTCCCGCAGAGATTGAATAGTTCAATTTTACCTAGTGTAGCCTTAACCGAAACGAAATCACTCAATATGAATATCTACCTAAA